TTTTTTCAAAGATTGTATTGAGACAGAGGCTATGAAAAAATGCAAGCAACGTGATCCATCAAAACCGATAGCATTCAACGGATCATGCATTGCTTCTGCAATCGAAGGGCTCAAAACGCCGTATGATCAGTACTTCACGTATGCTAATCTACAATTTATCAAAATCTAGAGAATGGGCGGTCATTTTTCATAGAAATGTGATGACGAAGAGATCGTCTGGAATTGATCAATCTGGCGGGATTAACTGGCCAGCTTTACTTGCACTAGCTATCATATGGATACTTGTTGGTTTGATACTGTTAAAAGGCTACGTTTACCTTGGAAAAGCAGCATATGTAATAGAAACTCAGAAGTTTGTCCTAATATCAAATCCGTTCATTTAGGTTTTTTCTATAGCTCCTTTTGCAATCGTTTTCGTTGTGTTCTGGCGTGCCATTACGTTAGACGGTGCAATATTTGGAGTATACTACTACTTTGGTACACCAGATTTCCACTTGCTGCTTCATCACGAGGTTCAAATCTAATTCCATCAGAATCGAAAGCAGAGCTTCCACAGCATATCAATAAATCAGTTTTTGAGATTGGAATGAGATCTGTTATAGTATAAGTTGATTTCAGACTTGGATGGAAGCTTTGATGCAAGTGTGCTTCAACCTTAACGTCGGTTACGGGGGAATAATTGTTGTTGCTTCTTACAACAGAAGAAAAAACAACTGTTACAAGGCTAGCACTTAATCATTTCATTACTTTAGTTGGCACTATCAGCGCGATGATTAACGAAACTAAACTAGCTGAGTTATGTTCTACATTGGCAAGATACAGTCACACTTGCAATTACATGCCAGGTGGAACTTCCGCGGCAAAGAATCTTCTTACAATCTCAAAAATCAAAAAAATCTGTTAGAATCTTGTTATCTTATGCTTCGATTTTGCTCACTAGCGCTACACATGCGTTAAGCCGTGTTAAAAGACCCAGATGAACATTTATCTATCCTTATGTATGAGATGCTAGCCATCTTCTACACCTTGGTGCCACTATGTAGCCGCGTGCCAGTTGACCGATCCAGTGCTTTTACCCTACCAAATTATCCCGGTACCTATATACTGACCCTGGGGGGTAGGGCCTTATCGGCCCGGAGCTATCTTACCTAGGACAAAATCAACAACGAAGGCAGCATTAATGACACTGAGGAGCAGATATTGAAAAACAACCGAGTTTGAGCATAAATAGTCGTTATGAAAAGATCCTACAAGGAAAGCGTGCGCACTCGAAGTGGAGTATTCCAACGAAGTGTATATAGGCTTGTAGATTCTGACATGCAATACAAAACCTTTCCTTATCTGCCAAGCTGTCCTCTAACCTAAGATATAAGCGTTCGTATTTCGTCGCGCCGACAAAAGCGCGCAGGTTGCCTCAG